AATTAATATATATTCTGCTCTTTTTAGGTAGAGTGTCTATAAATATCAGTCAGGTCTAGTTGGTTGATAGTGCTGTTCAAGTCTTCTATCTGATTTTCTGTCTAGTTATTCACTGAGTTGTTGAGAGTAGGGTATTAAATATCCACCTATGATTTCAGAGAAGAAATGAAATCAGAGAAGAAACTAATGATATCAAAGGTCCGTTTTCAATTGTCAAGTTTTGTTTATGTATTCTGATTTTTAGAAATCATGTAAAATACCCTGGCAAGCTTTCAATAAATTAAGCGATGCCCTGAGACCAACATTTAAGTTTGGAATGGGGTTTTTGGAGATAAGCAGGCATCAATTAAGTCTATTGCTGGAGGCAAAAATGGTAAAACTGAGGCTATCCTACTTTGGGCACATCATGAGAAGGAAGGATTCTTTGGAAAAGACAATAATGCAGGGAAAGGTAGAAGGCAGCAGGAAAGGAGGAAGACCAAATATGAGATGGATTGACTCCATAAAGGAAGCCATTGGCATGAATCTGCAGAAGCTGAGTGGGGCTGTTGAGGACAGGACATTGTGGACATCACTCATTCATAGGGTCACCAGGAGTCAGAGCTGACTTGACGGCACATAACAACAACGAAGGCATCAATGTCAGATTCAGCCTTGAGGGAGTCCCTGAAACACTGATATCCTCTAGTCCCCATTTTGATATATCTATCTGGTCCGGGAGACTGGAGTTAAAGCCTAAGGCTCACCCAAATGACAAATGGAATTAGAAGTCATGACATGAAAGGTCTCCATCCTTAGCGTTAACGTGAATCATGAATAAACCTGTTGCTTAGATTGAACAGCAAAGAAAGTTGCTGTTTCACTTAGTCAATGGAGGGAAACAAACAATATTGCTGAGAATTGTTAATGTACTAATCTAAATAGATTAGTGACTGAAAATTTTGCTGTCTGTTGTCTGAAAATGGTTAAGTGGAGAATGGCACTTAAATGTTCCATGGGTTCCTAGTAAAGCTAGGCATCTGCAGAAGCAAAGACAGATTTTCTCTGGAAGACTAAAACTTCAATCTAGGCACCAGGGAATTATCTCAGATCAAGTTCCAAGCTAAGGAGTAGCTCAATAGCAAATATCATAAAACACACAAAGATCCAGATTCAATGAATGTGAATCAGTAGAAACAGACAACAGTCTTACTCAAAAAGTTTTCAGATATTGGATTACATGAGATTGTAAAATAAATGTGTTTAATATGTTTCAAGAACTAAAGACAAGTTTAAAAATAAAAACAAGGACTAAGAGACTATTTTTTAAAGAAAACAAAAATGGAAATGAAAAATATATTACTTAAAAGTAACCCAATGGTTGGCTAAATGGTTTATTAGACTAAAAGGAGAAAAGTAATATTTAGCTGTAAAATTTGAAGAAATTACATGGAATGCATCACAGCTACATAAGGAGAAGGAAAATATAAATAAAATATTTAAAAGCATGGAGTATAAAATGAGAAGATATAATGAATATCTAATACAAGATCACGATGGAGATAATAATGGTAATACTTAATAAAATAATGACTGACTTTTTAAAACAAAAATACTACTGTCTAATTGGTGAGGATAAAGTAAGAAGTGATGGTGTCAAACATTGCACATATTCAAGAAATTAGAACACATTAGGAATATATCATTAAAAATTTATTAAAATTTATCTTCATATATGTGAGAAAAAGCTAAATCATAAAGGGAAATCAATAGCTTTTGTTACATCAGAAAGGAGGGATTCATAGCTGTTGCATATATGAGTTTAGAATTTAGAAAAATAAATACAAGGACAAAAAGGAGAAAATCAATAACACAATGGTGAGATAATGAAAATATTTAATTCAGAAGATATGCAAAACTAAATCTTGGCTCATTAAAAAGAGAATAATGGAAATGGTTATTGCTAGATTTATGCATTTTAATTTGTTTTAATTTTGCTGTTGTGAGTGAGATTATTCTATTTTCAAACATAATCTTTATTTATATAGATAAACATTTGTGTACTAATTTTATATGAGCTATCTTATCATTTGTAATAATTTTCAGTTGATTGTTTTGATATATAATTGTATCATCAGAACATAATAATCATTTTTGCCTTGTCTATTCTGATGTTTGTAACTCCTATTTCATCATTTTACTTCTAGGTGGTTTTGGAAGGCCTCTACTCTTGCAATTTTTCTTATTTTGGAGTTACAAAGAATGGTTGTGTATAATCCAGTATATGCATTGTAATAAATGGGATTTATACAAAACCAATTATTAACTTGTAAAATATATATTTTAATCCCTCCAATGGTGAATGAAGAAAGAAATATATTTTATAATGCAATACTAAAATAACTTATTTTAGATTTAGGAAGATACACAAATAAGTAATTTATGAAACTCAAATATTTTGTATTTATTATCAAATAAAGACTTCCTTCTGGAGCTTTTGTTTTAAAATCAGATTTTCTTTTGTTCTTATCATTGTACATCTAGAACATGAGGCCTATTTGAGAGATATTATAGAATTACAATGGCATCTTGAAGATAAAGCTCATCAACTAAAATATTTTGAGGAACAAAAGGCAAAATTGGAAGAAGCTAATGCCAAGCTTCAAGCAGACATAGACTACATGAGTGAACTTGGTCCTCTGCTGAACTCAAAGTGGAACCAGGAACTTGAAGCTCTGAAGGAATATAAAAAAAAAAAATTTGAGGTAAATGAATAAATGAATGGATATGCATTTTACAGATTAGTACTTAGTTATTCAAAAATGTTTCAACTATGAGAAATTAACATATTTAAAGGTTTCATTTTCATGGAAAATTGACCTGCTATTTATTTCCCAAAGGAATTATTAAACTGTACACAATACAGTCGATTGGTATTCATTTAAAGTGTGACTTCTTCCCTTACTTTTCTACTTGGGAGTATTAGTAATAATAATATTAATAATAATATGTAGTTAACCTACTAATAAAATTTTGGAGATTTAAAACAATGTAGAAATTTTGGAAGTTGTAAATTAAACTGAGGGAGAATGCAAGTAGAATATATTAGTCAATTTCATTGTTGATGAAATAAATAAAGTGTGAAGTCTTTTTAATAATTTGTGAACATTTGACCTTCCTATTGTGGGATCGTATCATAGAAAAATAAATTATTTCTGCCTGCCACTAAAGGAACAAATTTAACTTTTATCATATTTATTTTTGATCATTTTAAAGTAAATAAATTGTCTTTAAGTATCTCCTGTATTCCCCTAACAGTTCCATTTTTCTCCCTTCAAAGACAACCTTACCATGAAATTCTGTTTCTAGGCAAAATTTATATATTTTTGTACATATATATGTATTTATGTATAATACATAGTATTTTTTTAAAGTAAGGCAAGTCTTTACCTCTCAGATTCCCAATCCAATTCCCTGGTACTAATGTTCTCATAATAAATTTTCTTTTGATTCAGTTAGCAAGAAGCAATTACTATTGCTGGAAATCAAAAATTTTAACGGCTACAAACATATATTTACCCTGATGTTCTCTGATTATAAAACTGTTCTTCCAAGTCGTATGCTTCTACATGCTGTGTGTATGTGACATACATAGGCACATAGTATATAAGTATGTGTACTATCATTTATATATCTACATTAAAAGTATTTTATAATAATACCAAATATTCTCAAACATGACTAACAGATTACTTGGCACATATTAAGGGCCAAATAAATGTTTTTGAATGATGGATAAATAGTTGAATAAATAGTTAATTGATCAGTAGGTGTGTTGCGTAATATGGAAAGAAAAGGATGGTCTGGTGATATTGAGTGTTAGTTATGGTTGGGCTTTTTTTTTTTCCAGTCTGATACCATGATGTGTTCTGATAAACCAAATGTTTTAAGTTAATCATGATTCATTTTTTTAGTTGATAGAATTTTTTTATGGAGGTAACATTGGTTTATAACATTATATAAGCTTCATGTATACAGCATTATGTTTTGATTTCTGTGTATACTACATCATGTTCACCACCCAATGTCTAATTACCATCTGTCACTGTACGCATGTGCACTTTTACTCCTTTTGCCTTCCTCCTCCCACCTTCCCCTGTGGTAACCACAAATCTATTCTCTATATCTATGTGTTTGTTGTTTTTTTAATCTTCCACGTATGAGTGAAATCATATGGTATTTGGCTTTTTCCATCTGACTTATTTTGCTTAGCATAATGCCCTCCAGGTCCATCTGTGTTGTCACAAATGGCAAGATGAAATTTTTTTTTATGGCTGAGTAGTATTCCATTGTATATATATACTACATCTTCTTTGTCCATTCATCCACTGATAGGCAGTTAGGTTGTTGCCAAGACTTGGCTATCGTGAATAATACTGCAATGAATATAAGGGTGCAAATATCTTTTTGAATTAGTGTTTTCATATTTTTGGATAAATATCCAGAAGTGGAATAGCTGGATCATATGGTAGTTCCATTCTTAATTTTTGGGGGAATCTCCATACTGTTTTCCCTAGTGGCTACACCAGTTCACATTCCCATCAGCAGTGTATGAAGGTTCCCTTTTCTCCACGTCCTCTCCAATACTTATTATTTCTTGTCCTTTTAGTAATAGCCATTCTGACGGTCATGAGGTGATATCTCATTGTAGTTTTGATTTGTATTTCCCTAATAATTAGTGAAGTTGAACATCTTTTCATGGGCCTGTTTGCCATCTCTATATCTTCTTTGGAAAAATGTCTGTTCCAGATCTTTTGCCCATTTTTTAATTGGGTTGTTTGTTTTTTTGTTGTTGAGATGTATGAGTTCTTTATATATTTTGGATATTAACCCCTTTTCAGATATATGGTTTGCAAATATCTTCTCCCAATTGTTAGGTTGTCTTCATTTTTTTGATGGTTTCGTTTGCTTTGCAGAAGCTTTTTAGTTTGATATAGTCCAATTTGTTTATTTTTTCTCTTGTTTCCCTTGCCTGGAGAAACATGGTATTCAAAAAGATACTGCTAAGACCAGCGTTGAAGAGCATACTGCCTATGTTTTCTTCTAGAAGTTTCATGGTTTCAGGTCTTACATTGAAGTCTTTAATCCATTTTGAGTTACTTTTTGTGTATGGTGTATGATAATGGTCTACTTTCATTCTTTTGCATGTGGCTGTCCAGTTTTCCCAGCAACATTTATTGATGAGACTTTCCTTTCTCCATTGTATGTTCCTTACACCTTTGTTGAAAATCAGCTAGCTGTCCATAGATATGTGGATTTATTTCTGGACTCTGAATTCTGTTCCATTGATCTATGTGTCTGTTTTTCTGCCAGAACTGTGCTGTTTTGATTACTATATCTTTGTAGTTCATTTTGAAATCAGGGAGTGTGATACCTTCAACTTTATTCTTTTTCCTCAGGATTCCTTTGGTTATTCAGGGTCTTTTGTCTTTCCATATAAATATTAGGACTTTTTGTTCTATTTCTGTGAAAAATGTCATTGGGACTTCGATAGGGATTGCATTGAATCTGTAGATTGTTTTAGGAAGTACGGACCTTTTAACTGTGTTAATTCTTCTAATCCATGAGCATGGGATATCTTTCCATTTCTCTATGTCTTCTTTGATTTCTTTCAACAGTGTTTTACTGTTTTCACTGTACAGGCCTTTCACCTCTTTGATTAAATTTATTCCTAGGTTTTTTATTCTTTTTGTTGTGATTGTAAATGGGATTGTATTCTTAATTTCTCTTTCTGCTATTTTATTGTTAGTGTGTAGAAACACAACTTATTTTGTATGTTGATTTTGTACCTTGCAACTTTACTGTATTCGTTTGTTATTTCTAATAGTTTTCTGATGGATCCTTTAGGTTTTTCTAAATATAAAATCATGTCATCTGCAAATAGTGACAGTTTTATTTCTTCCTTTCCAATTTGGATCTGTTTTATTTCTTTTGCTTGCCTGATTGCTCTGGCTAGGACTTCCAATACTATGTCAAATAAGAGTGGTGAAAGTGGGCATCCTTGTCTTGTTCCTGTTCTTAGAGGGGTGGCTTTCAGTTTTTCACTGTTAAGTATGATGTTAGCTGTGAGTTTGTCATATATCGTCATATATTATGTTGAGGTATTTTCCTTCTATACTCATTTCATTGAGAGTTTTTATCATAAATTGATGCTGTATATTGTCAAATACTTTTTCTGCATCTATTGGATGATCATGTGATTTTTATTCTTTATTTTGTTAATGTGGTGTATCACTTTGATTGATTTTCAAATGTTGAACCATCCTTGCATTCCTGGAATAAATCCCAGTTGATCATGTTGTATGATCCTTTTATTGTATTGTATTTGATTTGCTAATATTTTGTTGAGGATTTTTGCATCTATGTTCATCAGCAATATTGGCCTATAATTTTCTTTTTTTGTATTGTCCTTGTCTGGTTTTAGTATTAGGGTAATGTTAGCCTCAGTAGAATGAGTTAGGAAGTGTCCCCTCTTCTTCAATTTTCTGGAAGAATTTGAGAAGGATATGTATTAAATCTTCTCTGAATGTTTGGTAGAATGTCTGGTCCTTGACTTTTTTTTTTTAAGGAGGTTTTTTGGTTGCTGTTTCAATCTCCTTACTAGTGATCAGTCTATAGAGATTCTCTATTTCTTCTTGATTCAGTTTCAGAAGGTTATATGATTCTAGAAATTTATCCATTTCTTCTAGATTATCCAATTTATTGGCACATAGCTTTTTGTAGTCTCTTATAATCCTTTGGATTTCTGCGGTATCCTTTGTAATTTCTCCTCTTCTGTTTCTGATTTTATTTGAGCCTTAGCTCTTTCCTTTGATGAATCTAGCTACAGGTTTGTTAAGTTTCTTTATCTTTTCAAAGAATCAGCTCTTACTTTCATTGATCCTTTCTATTGTCTTTTTAATCTCTGTTTCATTTATTTCCACTCTGATTTTTATTTTTTCCTTCCTTCTGCTGATTTTGGGCTTCATTTGTTCTGTTAGGTGTATTGTTAGATTATTTGTTTGAATTTTTCTTGTTTTTCAAAGTGGGCCTATATTGCTATAAACTCCCCTCTTAGTACCACATTTGCTTTATCCCATAAATTTTGGCATATATTATTTTCATTTTCATTTGTCTCCAGGTATTTTTTGATTCTTTGATTTCTCCTTTGATTTCTTCTTTGACCCAATAGTTGTTCAGTAACATTTTGTTTAATCTCTACATATTTGTGGCTTTTTCAGTTTTTCTTGTAGTTGATTTCTAGTTTCATATCGTTGTGGTCAGAAATGATGCTTGATATTATTTCAGTTTTCTTAAATTTATTGAGCTTTCTTTTGTGGCCTAAGATGTGATCTATCCTGGAGAATTTTCCATTGCATTTGAAAAGAATGTGTATTCTGCAGTTATTGGATAGAATGTTCTGTATATATCTACTAAGTCCATCTGGTCTAATGTGTCATTTAAGGCCAATGTTTCCTTATTGATCTTCTGTCTGGATGATCTGTCCACTGATGTGAGTGGGGTGTTAAAGTCCTCTATTATTATTTTGTTACTGTCAATTTCTTCTTTTATATTTGTTAATATTTGCTGTATGTATTTAGGTGCTCCAATGTTGGGCACATAGGTAGTTACAAGTTTTATGTCTTCTTGTTGGATTGTTCCCTTTATCATTATGTACTGCCGTCTTGTGTCTCTTCTTACAGTGTTTGTTTTAAAGTCTATTTTGTCTGATATAAGTATTGCTACCCCAGATTTCTTTTCATTTCCATTTGCATAGAATATCTTTTTCCATCTTTTCACTTTTAGTTTGTGAGTGTTTTTAGGTCTGAAGTGTGTCTCTTGTATGCAGCATATATACGGATCTTGTTTTTATCCATTCAGCCAGTCTATGTCTTTTGATTGGAGCATTTAGTCCATTTACAATTAAAGTAACTATTAGTAAGTATATACTTATTGCCATTTTCTTAGTTTTTTTCTGAATATTTTTGTAGTTCTTCTCTGTTCCTTTCTTCCTCTCTTGCTCTCCTCCCTTGTGATTTGATGGCTTTCTTTAATGTTATGTTTGGGTTCCTTTCTCTTTATTTTTTGTGTATTTATTACAAGTTTTTGGTTTGAGGACTATATATCAGGTTAATATGTAATAACCTATGTAAATAGCAGTCTATATTAATTTGATGGTCTTTTATGTTTGAACTCTTAATAAAAGCCCTACACTTTTACTCCCTCCCTCAGGTTTTACATTTTTATATCATATTTTACCTCTTTTATATTTGTGTATCCTTTAACCTCTTATCATAGATATAATTTTAGTACATTTGTCTTTTGACCTTCATACTAGCTTTATAGGTCATTGATCCACTACTTTTACTGTATATTTGTCTTTACCAACGATATTTTTTCTTTGATAATTTTCTTATTCCTGTTTGTGGTCTTTCCTTTTTCACTTATGTAAGTTCATTTAACATTTCTTGAAAGGCAAGTTTAGTAGTGATGAAATCCTTTAGTTTTTGTTTCTCTGGAAAACTCTTTATTTCTCTTTATGTTCTAAATGATAACATTGCTGGATAGAGTATTCTTGGCTGTAGTTTTTTTCCTTTCAGCCTTTTAATATATCATGCCACTCCCTTCTAGCCTGTAAGATTTTTGCTGAGAAGTCAGCTGATAACCTTATGGGGTTTCCTTTGTATGTAACTTGTTGCTTCTCTCTTGCAGCTTTTAGGAATCTCTCTTTATTTTTAATTCTTGACATTTTAATTATAATGTACATTAAGATGTTGATTTCAACCCTCATGATGACTTTGATGGGTTCAAGACTTTGTAGAAGAGTAACTGCAGACGTGGTAGAAATAGCAAAAGAACTAGAATTAGAAGTCAAGCCTGAAGATGTGACTGAATTGCTGCAATCTCATGATAAATCTTTAATGGATGAGGAGATGCTTCTTGTGGATGAGCAAAGAAAGTGGTTTCTTGAGATGAAACCTACTCCTGGTGAAGATGCTATGAAGATTGTTGAAATGACAACAAAAGATTTAGAATAATACATAAACTTAGTTTAAGCAGTGTCAGGGTTTGAGAGGATTTACTCCAATTTTGAAAGAAGTTCTACTGCAGCTAAAATGATATCAAACAGCATTGCACACTACAGAGAAAGTGTTTGTGAAAGGAAGAGTCAGTCAATGCAACAAACTGCATTGTTGTCTTATTTTAAGAAATTGCTACAGCCACCCCAACCTTCAGTAACCACCACCCTAATCAGTCAGCAGCCATAAATATTGAGGCAAGGCCCTCCACCAGCAAAAATGTTACGACTTGCTGAAGGTTCAGATGATGGTTACGTTTTTTGCAATAAAGTATTTTTGAACTAAGGTGTGTACATTGCTTTTTTAGACATAATGCTTTTGCACACTTAATAAGACTACAGTATCACGTAAACATAACTTTTATGTGTCCTGGGAAACCAAAAAATTCCTGCAAATCACTTTATTGCGATATTCAGTTTGTTGCGGTGGTCTGAAACCAAACCTGCAATGTCTCTGAAGTATGCCTGTACCAGTCCCACACTGACCCACACCAAGAGCTTGCCTTGGAGATGAATTTGCCTCATATCATGTCACACTGGCCTTCGACCATGAGGCCACTACCCTGCAATGCCTGCAGGCTGCCTTTTTTAAAGGTGCTGACAAATTGAACACAGGATATTATTTATTGCTTTTATTCTATTGATATTAGGAATTCTATTATGTTTCTTGAGGTTTTTGTTTGCTTAGCCCATCATCCTGGTATACACCTTACTCTCTGCCAAAACGTATACCCCTGTAGTCCTGGGCCTAAAGGAAAATCTTGTAGTGGTTACTACTATCTGTGCTATTCTGAGAATTAATGAAAATTATTATTTTTTCCAGGAGGCAACTGCCTCATATTTATTCACCACTTGACCTCCTGGGGAAAAAACTGCTCACTCCCTAGTGCCTTCTCCTTGTGCCAACTTTCCACAGCACATCCAGACCTGTAGTTCCAACCATGACCACTACAACCACCTTTCTCTGTAGTTTGACAGAGAAGGGAAAGCTGGAAAGAGAAGGAAGAATACTTATTATATTTGATAACTAATAAAAACAATAAAAATGGAATATTTTGCACCCTTACATTAAAATAATATTGGTTATTCCTGCGTGAGAACATTACAAGTGATTTTATGTCTTTTCTTTTTTTGTCTTTGTTTTCTGATTTTTCTACCATAAAGTATTATTTGAACAATAAAAACAATAAAAAGTAGCAGTTTTTTTGTAGGTGAAAAGATAGTGATTTTATTCTCATCGTGTTAACCGGGATATTGAATTTATTTTCTTCAATAACTTTTATACATCCATAGTGTTGATGCCTTTCAGGGTAAAGGAAAACTGAAACTCTGCTGTGCTGAGCAATAGACTAAACATGGAAGAAAATCAATGTAAAGAACTTTTAAACTAAATTAAAACTACTCTAGGTTTAAGTCCCTTCTCTGATCTTACTTGTGTCTGATTCTTTTAATTAGCCATTAAGTGCATATATTAGCGAAAATATTTTTTATTTCTAGGTCATGGAACTATACAAAAAAGTTCATGAAGAACTTGAAGAAGCTATAGAAAACTGCAAAAATGCCAAATTGGATGCTAAAAAATTTAGAGAAGACATGGAAAAAGATATTCGTGATTCCAAAACAAAAGTAGAAGCCTACAAGTAGGAATTTTTCACAATTACTTATAGCATTTAAAAGTAAAATATTAATTAAAATTGTAATTTATATTCCTGTATAAAAAATTCTGACAAAGAGAAAGGAATCTAAATTATCCATATTTATCTTATCACCAAATTTATATATAAATTAAAATATGTATCTTTTACATATGTAAATCTACATGTGTAGAAATTCCTAAAACACTATTTTTCTGTGTCATTTTAAAGCTCTTCATACATATTGCCAAATTGCCTATGGATATGGTATAACAATATATATCCATGCTATCTATGTGCAAAAATGACTAAAAATATTTTTGCAGCATGGGATATTATTAAAAACAAATTATATAGCCTTGCATTAATTATAAACCTAGCATCTAATTGCATTTTAACTTGCATTTATTTGATTTGATTTATTTGATTTCTAATAAAAGAATATTTTAAAATATGTATAGACTACTTATATTTTGCATATTAGTAATTGAAGTATTTTTTATTACATTTTTGATGTGTCTGTGTTTTATAATACATTAGTCCCCCCTTATCTATGGTTTTGCTTTTCACAGTTTCAGTTACCTGCAGTCAATCTCGGTCCAAAAATATTAAATGGAAAATTCCAGAAATAAACAATTCATAAGTTTTAAATTGTGTGCCATTCTGAGTAGCATAATAAAATCTCAACCTGTTCTGCTCTCTTCTGCTTGAATGTGAATCACCCCTTTGCCCAACATATCCAGGTTGTATATGCTACCTGCTTGTTAGTCACTTAGTAGTCGTCTCAGTTATCAAATCTACTGTAGCAGTATCACAGTGCTTGTGTTCAAGCAATCCTTATTTTACTTAATAATGGCCCCAAAGTGCAACAGTAGTGCTGCTGGCAATTTGGATAGGCCAAAGCGAAGTTGGCATTGTTATCGTTGTTATCTCTTACTGTGCCTAATTTATAAATTAAACTTTATCATAGGTATGTATGTATAGGAAAAAACATAGTATATATAGGGTTCGGTACCATCTGTAGTTTCAGGCATCCACTGGGGGTCTTGGAACATGTATCCCCTGTGGATAAGGGGGGACTACTGTATTCTTCTAATTCCTCTTATTGGCTTTAAATTCTTTATGGTTCTTTGTGACATAATATTCTTATTTATTCAAATTAATCAGTGATTTAGTATAGAAAAACTCATATTCATTATGGAGTTAGAATCAAGTAAATGAATAAATCATATTCATTATGGAGCTAGAATCAATCAAGCAACATGAAGAACACAAAATTTATACATAATCTTATGATCTAGATAATATCCATTTATTAAGATGTTTATATTTCCTCATGTCCAATGTCTGTTTCATCATATGCTTAAACATTACCTATTATTTAATAAATAAATCACTTTTATAACTCATCTGATTTGTTATATCTTCATTGTCATTCAGTTACCTATATTTGCAAATTTCATCATGATTTCTTTTTTGACCCATGGGTTATTAAGGAATATATTTTCAAATTTCCATGATGAATTTCTAATTTTCTAATTATCTTTGTATTATTGCTTTCCAGCTGACTTGTATTTTGGTCAGGGAATATTATGTAATTTCAACCCATTGGAAATTGTTGAATCTTAATTTTTGGCTCAGTGACATGGGTTTTTTTTAAAAATATTCCTTGCATACTTGAAAATATTCCTTGTGTAAATACTTGACTAATTGAATATATTGTTCTTTACTGTTTCGTTAGGTCAAGTTTACTAATAATGGAGGTTAATCTTTGTATATCCTTGCTATTTCAAGTATGGTCTGTGGACCAACAACATCAGCATTACCTGGGTTCTTGTTCAAAATGCAGAATCTCAGGCTCAATTCAGACCTATTGAATATGAATCTGCACTTTTAAAAGATCCCAAGGTGATGTTTGAGACGCACTGTTTCATATCATTACTGATTTTTACTACTTTTTTCTGTCAAATATTGAGAAAAGTGTGGTAAAATAGTCCACTTTGGTGGTATATCTGTCTACATCTTTTTATTTTTTTAATTGCATCAGGTTTTGCTGTAGTGAGGTTGTATCTTTCAGTTTCATTTGACTCTACTCCTAAAATCAGGTTTAGTGCATGAGAACCTGGGCCAATTCAATAAGCACACCCTATACTTATTGGCCATTGGCATTTATTTTCTTGTGAATTTTTGTTTATTTTCCCTGCTCATTTGTCTATTGGGTAGTTTTTCTATTTGATATAGGTTTGTAGGATTTTATTTAAGAGATCTTGGATCTCTTATATGGGTTTCAATTAAATCTCTCAGTCTGTTGTTTTGTTTATGGTGTCTTAAAAAAAGTTGCAGTTATCTGTATTACTTGCTGATATTTTATGAAAATGATAATTTTGTCATTTTCTCACTGTACTTTTTTCATGTATTAAACCATAACACCATTGTCTAAAGAGACTTATATTTGAAATTTGTTTTCTAAGTACCAGGTAAGATAAAGGCTTATGTGGTTTACAGATTAGCACTGGTCTTCTTTCCGGAAAGTCACATAGAAACAAAGAACTCCTGGGCAATTGCTTCTCTTTAAATAAGCCCCTTGTGGGGCCGGCCCGGGGGCGCAAGCGGTTAAGTACACGCACTCCGCTGCAACAGCCCAGGGTTGGCCAATTGGGATCTCGGGCTCGCACCAACGCGCTGCTTGGCAAACCATGCTGTGGCGGCGTCCCATATAAAGTGGAGGAAGATGGGTATGGATATTAGCCCAGGGCCGGTCTTCCTCAGCAAAAAAACAGGAGGATTGGCAGATGTTAGCGCAGGGCTGATCTCCTCACCAAAAAAATAAATAAATAAATAAGCCCCTTGTTTTCCTAAGCTGCACTTTTCTCCATTTTACCTCTAAGATTGTGAGCGAGACAAAACAGTAGACTAGGGCTTTAATAATATGTGGTCTTTTCACTTCTACATCTTCTTCTCTCCTATTTTTCTTGCCTCTCTATCCCTGTACGACCCAACTTCTGAATCATAGGTGCTTAGGTCTCTCACCTGAAATCAAATCAAAAAGTGATTTATTTTAAATAATTTACAAATCACTTTTCTCTCAATTCCTTTCCATTGAAAACATAAATACTACTGGTGAATTTTTTTCTCCCTATTTACTTCTTGATATCTAAGTGGTACTTTTCAGGAGTTGCTTTGGGACGAGAGAAATTTTAGGAATAGATAAATTCCATTGATTTACATTGTTAATGTAAATCAGAAGCTAATTTAAATATAATTTTGCTTTCAATACGGATAAAAGCAACTATTTTTTTTTTCTTAGGAAAGAGTTAGATAAACTTAACAATCTACGTATTCACTACTCTTCATCAATACAAAATGTTAATTTTACTATTGAGGAGAATGAAGAGGCAGTGACCGAAGTATTGAAGGAAACAAAGACATCAACAAATAAATTATCTTCGTTATCAAAAACGGTGAGTTTTCATGTTTAAAAATTTTAAAAATACTGATTTTAGTTTTGAGCCATGGCTATTAAAATGTATTCTCTGACAATATTTAAATAGCAGTTATCCAATTCTTTGTCTATATTGGTTTTCTATTGCTCGTAACAAGTTACCAGAATTTTAGCAGCTTAAAACAGCACGAATTTATTATCTCCGAGTTTCTCTGGCTCATGACTCAGCTTGTTCCTCTGCCCCTGGTCTTCCAAGAAAGAAATCAAGGTATCAGCAACCCTGCATTTCTTTCTGGAGGCTCCAGGGTGAATCTGATTTCAGACTTAGTCAGTTTTGGCAAGATTTAGTTCCTGGGTTTTAGAACTGAGGTCCTTATTTCCTCAGTGGCTGTCAGCCTGGGATCGTTCTCAGTTTTTAGAGGCTGCCTGCATTCCCTGGCTGGTGGTTCCCTTCATCTTTAAACTAGGAATGGTGGGTTGAGTCCTCTCGGACCTTACCTTATGACTCATCTTTCCTGCCTTCCTCTTCTGCCACATCTCATTTACTATAGTAAAAGGAAATAATAAAATGCTAAAAAGAAATAATAGTATAGTAAAAGGCAATAATATACACATTACTGTATCAATTTGCATTCCTACCTAGAGTTAAAACTACATGTGCTTTTTTTTTGCCACTTTCTAAGTCTCTTTAATTATATCTCATTATGTTTTTTTAAGTTATTCCATAATTATTAGTGAAACTCAGCATATTTTAATGGCTTTTGGGGGATCATTTGTATTTTCTTTTCCATGAAAAGCCTACTCATTATTTTTCCTCTATAAGTTGAGTGATTATTTTTTTATTGATTTGTAAGAATTTGTTGTATGTTATAGATACCACATATTTTAAAGTTATGTATGTTAAAAATATTTTCACCCAATCTTTCATTTCTGTATAGTAACTTCTGGTGAATCGAGAAACTTAAATTTTAATGTGGTGAAAGTTATAAATATTTTCCTTTGAGCTTGGAGCTTTTCTGAACTTAAGAAATTTTTTTTACCTCAAAGTCAAAAAAATATTCTTTGGTATTTTATTCTAAATGCTTTGAAATTTTGCTTCCCATATTTATACACTGCTTTTAGATGAAACTATGTTAAAAATATTTGAAATTGAGTTTTTTTTCTCGTTCTATCTTTTATTTACAAGTTTGGAAGTAGTAAACTCTCTAGAATTTTAGGAAAGCATATTTCACTTGCCAGATGTGAAACATAATCAATAGGAAATTCATATACGGGTATGGTGTGAAGTGAGGTTCCAATTACATTCTTTTCTTATGTAGAAAACAAAGTGTTACAATATAATTTATTGTATTTGTTTGTATATTAATGTTCAGAGCCTTCTCTGTCACATATGAGGGTTCCATATTTGTGTGGATCTCTCTTTCTGTTCTCTTTTTAATTTGTCTACTTAACCATCTTTACCTTGATACTTCATGTCTATGTTACTAAACTTCTATACTAATGAGTTTTGATTATCTATTATGATGAGTCCCCAGTCTTATATTTCCTTATGCGTCTTAGGCTATTCTTGACCTTTGCCCTTCCATATTCAGTATTATCTTGTTCATTTCCTTCAGAAATTTTATTGGAATTATGATTGGAGTCACATTCATTGGAGTCGTTATGGATTATATGATCAAGAAATGAAATCTTTATGATGGGGATCCCTAAATGTAAACATGATCTCTCTCTCCATTTATTTGGGTAGTTTTTCTAAATTGGAACTTAACCAGTTTCCTTGGAACTTTGTAGAAGGCAAGCTCTCTCTGCCAAATCAGCCTGTGATCAGTCTTGGACAAATTAACCCTTATATCTCCACTGAATTTTAAAATTATTTCTTAAAAATTGTTTTTTAATGTAATTCTTATTTGTTCATAAAGGTAGTCTATATAGTAGATATTATTTAAAATTCTAAAATTCATATGGAACAACAAAAGACCCCGAATAGCTAAAGGAATCCTGAGAAAAAAGAACAAAGCTGGAGGTATCACACTCCCTGAT